GACAGTGTTGTATATGGGTATTTCTCGAAAAGGGACCCTATTTTAGAGAACTACCCATATAGAATACGGAAAAACGCGAATGTGACGGAGAGTGGGTCTAAATTTATTCCAGGTCCTTGCAGAGGCGCTCAGAGCCAATGACACGGTGGAGCTGCTGGACCTGACAGGAAACATGATTTGCACGAAGGGCATGAAGGCATTCGGCCGGGAAGGTGAAGTGATGCCAGTGCGACCTACTACAATGTTTCTGTCTGCGATATGACGCCGTTTTCTGTTCTTGCCCTCCTGCAGCCAAGCCAAAAACCTGGTGCAGGCACTTGCGACCTTGTCTTGCCGAGCGCGCACCCAGGTTGGGTAAGCCCTCAGAAATCTCAAAGATTCGGGTCGGAGGTGTTTGGGTCACACAAATGCGCCGATTCTGTGGTTGAGCAGTTTGGCAGCTGCCCAAGCCGGTTTGGGAATATGGAGCTGTTCATAGCGGTCCAACTGTAGAGGCTAAAGGCGAGCTGATCTTAGAACGGGCAAATAGGACTGAGCAAGAAATGCAGGTTGCAGCTCTGAAGCTCCTGCTCGCCCAGAACCCTGAGGGTATGTCTGGTGCCGTGGAGGCCGGCCACCAAACTTTGTAGGAGGAGGGCATTTATCATGCAAGGTACCCGATTGCGACGAGCGGCTAGCTTGCCGATGAGATATTTGGAGATGTACGTGATGCTCCAAGCTGTTGGTTTTGGCGGTTCTTAGACAATACTGGACAATCCTGTAATGTGTCGATGCCAGTGATAGGATTTGATTGACGGAACATGGCGCACAACATCAACACTTCATCATGGACTGTCTCAATCGCAACACTCCTCTTGAAGTTCTTGTTTCCTGGAAGCCTGAACTGAGGTGCAGGACTCTGCAGGACTAGGGTAACTAGTGTGCCAGGCGGTGAGGACATGGCATAAAGCTGCACATGCATGCACGCACACACACACACACACAACAAGTGCTGCTGAAGGCCTTCGCGCAGAATCGGAAGCTCCAGGTTATGGATATTCTGCTCATCCCAAAGGGCAACTCCATTGACGTTTTCGGACATCTTGAGGCACCGGATGCACAAGCTAGGACTTGGCACACCCCAAATCGACATCAGCCCGGGGGTGGGCGGGGGCGCCAACATTTGTGAGCTGCCAAACCGCGCCCCACATGTAGGATTGCCGTCGCCGCCCAGCTATTTCTCAAATTTCTCATTGCTACGACGCTTTGTTGTTTTGGCTGCTGCCAGGAGTACTCCTACAGTTATTATTAGTATTATCAGGTACTATGAAGACGACGACTGCCTCCCATGTTGCTGCTTGGTGCTGCCGATCTTTGCCACAACTAATGACGGTTGCGATTACTCCTACTTCAAGTATGATTACGGCTATTATTGCTACCACTACCACCACCGCCACGACGACGACGACTACTACTACTACCACCACTACTACTTCTGCTGCTGCTGCTGCAGCTGCTACAGCTACAGCTACAGCTACAGCTACATCTACAGCTACAGCTACTACTACTACTACTACTACTACTACTACCACTACTACTTTTACTACTACTAC